GAGCTCCCGGCAGACTCCGCCCCCGCCAACGGTCGGGGGAGTGCGCGTGCGCGTGCGCAGGAGACCCGCTGCAGACCGCGCGGGTCTTGCGGCTCAGGTGGGTAGTGTTCCAGAGGTGTTCGGAGTGGCCGGGCTCTCGGGGACCGGGGTCTCCTGAGGGGGCTGCACGACCCGCGAGCCTGAACTCTCGCGGCTGAGTTCTAAGGTGTGTGAGCCTTGGTCTCCTCAGCCCTGACAGGAGGGAAGACTTGTTATTATCCCCGTCGCCCCGCTCTGTGTCCTTTTCTCCTCATAATTCCCTACTTGTAAATGCGTCCATTCCCAAGACACGAGTGTGTGTGAGTGTGAGTTGTTTGTGTTTTGTTTGGCTGTCCTGGAAGTCACTCAGCCGACCGAGTTGGCCTTGAGCCGGCTTGACTGCCCGCCAAGTGCTGGGTTAAAGGCAAGCGCTACCATACCCAGCAAGACTTCTCAGATGACGGTTGAGCTCTGTGTCCATCTTATGAAGCCCCTCAATGCCAGACCCAATTCCTCGTCTCCCCGTTTCCTACCTGGCTGGTTGCTGCTTGAAAACTCCCATATTTGGAGGCGCTGGGATGAAACCTGGCCTTGGGTATCGCAGCCATTGATTTCAAATCAGGGTTTTTGCTGTCCAACTCAGACTACCCAAGAGCTCATACATAGCCTGAGCTACGGAGACTAGCTTTGAACTGTCTGCCCAGCCTCCTGAAAGTATGCAACCACCATCTGGCCTCGACCTAACAGTTTCCTCTCTGTTGTACAGGTTGGGCATGAGGTCCAGAACAAAGTCTTTAAAATTCTAGAACTCGCTGGGCCATAGCAGTGTAGGCCTTTATCCCAGCACCCACTTGGGAGGCAGAGGCAGGTGGATCTCCATGAATTCAAGGCTAGCCTGGTCTACAGAGTGAGTTCCAGGATAGTCAGGGCTACACAGACAAACCCTGTCTCAAGAAACTAAATAAATAAATAAACAAATAAAATTGTAGAATTCATCCCCTCCAATCCATTTTGTTCCAAATATCCTGGACTGGTCCATCCATCTCTTAGAAATACAACACTAGTTGAAAATTGATTATTGACTGTTTGCTGTTTTAAAGTATTCTCCAGACAGACAACAGGAAGAAGCTAATTTCCAAAATTTCAAAAGTTTCCTGAACTTCAAGTACTAAGTGGGTGAATTCAATGACGTATGACTCATAATGGGGATGCGAGTCGCTACTTTTGGAAAACTCTCCCCCTTTTAGTAATTCTGACTGAGAGCCAACTTTGTTTGTTTGTTTGTTTTGATGGTGCTAGGATTGAACCCAGTTTTGTGTGTGCTAGGCAAACTCTCCAGGACAGCAGTTTGTATTTAGGTTCTCAGAGAAACTCACTTTATCCCTTCAAAGTAGAGTGCATAGCTTTTTTGTTAGCCCCCTGTCATCAACCAAGAGTCCAAAGCAATAGAAAAACGCCATGGCCCATGCATGAGGATGGCCAGATTTTGTGACGTATTTCACTTACCATGTTCTGTGGTCACTGACATGGCCATACATCTATTACAAGTTATCACATGGTTGCTTGCATAGGTGCTGAACTTGCTATAGGCTCAGAAAGGATAGGTCTGACATTGTGTGTTCCTGGTGCCTGGGGAAAGTGGGTTAGCCAATAAATAGTAGATATCAACAAGTTGATAATGATTCGATACATGTATTAGTCATTATTTCTGACTTCTCTAAATTGGATTCCTTGGAGGCAGGAATTATATCATTCCTAATATATAATGATATATATATGTATGTATATATATATATATATATTCCTAATATATAATGATATATAATTATATCATTCCTAATAAACATCCTAAACATCACAGTGACTGTTAGCATATCTTGTTTCTAACCAGTGTTTCCTGCTCAAGTTGTTTATATTCCCCTCTCTGCTTCTACAGTTTAATGTTCTATGCGTGTTCCTGACAAAGACTCAAAGGTGAAAGAGGCCTTAATCGTTCGATGTCTTTGTCTTCTTCAACTAAAGATTTTCTGGCTTTCATCTCTCTCTCTCTCTCTCTCTCTCTCTCTCTCTCTCTCTCTCTGTGTGTGTGTGTGTGTGTGTGTGTGTGTGTGTGTGTGTGTGTGTG